TCTCTGTTTTTTGAGCAGGGCTTTGGGCAATTTTAAACAGTGCTGTTTAATTTTGATTCGTTTTCTCTTCCTGTAGCAAATCGGGTCAAGATATCTGCCGTCACTTTGAAAATTTACCTGACTTATATGTAGCTGTGCATCACGCAAAGTTTTTCTTTGAAAAAGTCTGGAGATATCTTCTCAAACGCCTGTAATAGTGAAATTCGGTTGTGCAGTTTTATCAGTTGAGCGCCTTTCTGAAAGAATGCGAAAGGTAATTTGCAGCGTATGGAAACCAAATCATGGATTGTTAAAGTTACTTTGATACTGATATTAATTGTTTGTCGCCTATAGCAGTCAAACCTGTCAGCTAATAGAGGTTGAAATTGAGAAGGCAATCTGCAGAGTCCCAAATACACGAAGTTCTGAGTAATGTTGGCAGAAAAAATGTTTTCCTGGTAGGCAGATCAAGTTGCTTTTCAGAAGTCCTTTCATTCTTGGAGATCTTTCTGTCTCTTGGGAATCTTCAGATTTCTTTCTTTTTCGAAAATTGAGCTGTGTAAGATGATTTTTGATTGTTTTTTTTTAAACGACATGAAATCCGGTTTTTACATCTCAGTACGATTTCGTCAATTCATTTTTTTTTTTTTTCTTAGCTCAGTCTTTAAAAGTTGAAAATAAGAAATGAGAGGGGCACTGTGCAGACTCCTGGGCACTTTTGCCTATGTAGAGTTGTGCAGTCCGGGACTAGTAAGCATTGTCTTGTGTTGGGCAATAATAAATTTGTTGGTCCTCATTGCCCGAACACTGGGAGCAGGTATTCTTTTAGAGTATAGTTTTCAGTTCATTCAGCTGGCAACTTTTCGTTCAAAGCTGCCAGTGCTGTTCCGTTTAGAGATCGGTTTGCTCGTGACCCTGATGTTTGTTCTGCCTATTGAAGAAATCTCTTTGCTCATTTGTTGATTTCCTTTTGTGTACATTAAAAGTTAGCACTTCATCCCAAACTTTGCAGCCCTTAAGACGAAGAGGTACCTTGCCGACTCAAAGCATTTGCTAAATAGTTTTTCAAAAAAGTACAAAGGACTTAAAAATTTTACAGAATTTTTTCAAATTCTTGTTTTTTTCCGAATTTTGTAAGCTTTTTTAATTTCTGTTACAGATGTTGTCACTGGGAATTAATTAAAACGACTGAAAATGTAGGCCATCACTGACGACTGATCAAAATTATGACAAATTTTGTCTAAAGCAATTTTAGGGGACTGTGGCAATCTCAGACAATGCCCCATCGCAGCCTTTCAAAGGAAAAGATAGGCGAATATTTCTTTTCGAGCAATCTGCAATCATCGCTGACTGTATTTTGCCGAAGAAAGAGTTTGGCAATCCTACTTACATCTTCAAGAGCCAGATTATGGTCAACAAGGTATGTTAAATTGCTCCCAACTGGCACTTGTTCCTCAGTTCAGGAAGTACTAAACTAGCCGTAGTTGTTGAGTTTTCTATCTTCAGCTAAATATGCTGAATCCGAAGTACTGGTCTCCAGGGTTCACAATATACTGGGCCGCGGAGTTCG